TGATGCAGCACCCAAGGGCATTTTCGCTTTGCGTGGAGGCCACCTTTTGAGCTTGAGAATAGGAGTTGCGCGTAATTAGCATCCGTCCGAGGGTCATTCCAAGTGGTGAGAAAGTCCACGTCCTGAGGAACGTCAGTGCTAGATGCAATCTAGAAGGAGCAAACGCGCTGGCGGCAGGCAGAAGGAAATGTGGAGCGGAGCAAGCTTGGCTATGCTTGCCTGCCATTGGCTGCTGGATGCAACAAGTCTAGAACACATGTCTGTGCTATTGTCAAAAGACACCGTTGCTTGGGGTTGAAAGGGATGGTCATCCACCTGATAGAAAGAATCCTTAAAGTCAAAAGTCACGATGATATTTTATGACCCAGAGGTTCACTGCGCAGTTGCGTGTTGACAGTAGGTCAGTGCATGAAATCGTCGTTTCATGCATTACCGTTTGGCTCAAGAAAAAGGCGCGCGTCTGCGCACACGTTGCCCCAATTTAAGGTCGCAGTCACGGAGGGGATCGGTTCTTCTAAGGTCCCGGGTTCCCCCCCTGTTGTGTAAGGCTCTTTTGGGTAAACGATCCCTTCTGTGGCTGCGACCGGTTTACTGTCGCGCATGGAAGAAGGCCAACACGCTACTGCAGAATGGTGGATCAGTACAAGCAGCAGGGGCAACGATTCCGTTGGGTGACGTTTGCGGACGAGATCGCAGCATTGTTCGCGTGGCAGGCGACGCTAGATCGCTGGACGGTATTTTGATCCTGCGGCCTGGGAGGTGATTAGTCGGCACCAGCGCCTTGAGCTTGCTGTTGATGCCGGGCGCGGTAGGTGCCGTTGAAGATCAAGGTAGAGCAACAGCTACAAGCGCGCCGACAGCTCCGCCGGATCTTCCAGCTTGGCATCAGTCTTAACAGCGTCGGCCATCTGCAGAAGAGCGTGAAGCTGCACGAAGTGCGGCGCAGGGAGCGCTTTGCGGGGTATACACTAAAGCTGCGGCAACGCGGCGGGGCAGCAGCAGGAACCGCTCTCCGTTGCCAAGGATCAGGAGGCAGCCAAGTCCATCAAGGCCAGGGCCTCCTGAGCCACAAAGTCGGAGAGCCTGGAGTGTTGAGTAGGCATCAACCCAGGACTTGGTCAACATGCCCCAGTTGAAACAAGGTAACCCGTAGATGATGCCCCAACTCCACCCATAGCCACAATGTAACGCTCGGAGCCGAGGGCCTTGCTTAGGAGCGGTCATGGAGAATAGCGTTTTATGCCTATATTTCGTGCAAGGCTAAGCAGTGCGCCTTCTCGCACAGTGATGCTAATAAGTATGTGTAAGCCACCGCCGCCGAAGGCAAGTGCAGCTGTTGATTCCTGCCATGGCAAGTGCCGAGGATAACCGCGTTAGCTGGCCCTGGGACACCGCAGCTGGAAGGCGCTTGATCGGTCAGCAAGCTCTCAACAGCAACATGATCAAGCGCGTACGCGAGAGTGGCACACCCGTCGGGTTTGCAACTGGGGGCGGGGTGCCCAACAAAGCGCCACATTCGAGGCCAGCTGAGTGAAGAGCAGGTGTATGTCCTCCGTGATTGCCCTCCATTGCGGTCCATCGGAAAGACCGTGACCTTGTTCCCCCCAAAGAGCTTGCGCCTAGGGTAGTGGAACACCCTCAATATGACGAAGTGGTAAATCGCAAGTTGGCAGAGTCGTCAACTCTCTGGCCCGTTGAAGCTGCTGCTCTGAGTGCGGCCGAAGACGTATCACTATGTGACGGGTCATGCCAAGCGTCAGATGAAGGTGAGGTCGACCAGGCATCCGTCAATATGTTGGCGGCTCCTTGCCAGAGGATGACCTTCCCCAAGTCGCTCTACCCGACGCGCGAGAGTGCGTTGAAGGAGCAAGCAAAGCCCCTTGAGCACTTGAGGTCACAAGCAAGGGTCGCACATAAGCAGGACGCCAGGTCAGACGAGAAAGTAGACGTTCCCACAGCACCGCTGGCTACCGACTCCGTAATCCTCGCAATGGGTGACGAACACCTTGGAGCGGGGGTCGGGGGCATCGTCGCACCATGCGTGTCCCGTCAGCAGGCACGACACGCAGGCGCTGCGGCCGGTCCTCGAGTGCGACATCAGGGAGGAGAAGGAGTGCTGCCGAAGCATCCATCTACAATCCGAGCTACCCCGCTCGTTTAGTTGCCTCGCATTGTCGTTCTTTAGTCCCGGCAAAACGCAATGGGAGGTCCTCACAGAAGAAAAAATCGAAGGAAAAAGGTGCTGTTTCGGTCAGTTGGTGTGGTACCGAACCAAACTCCGGGCAAGCGCGCTCTAGATCCGACTATGGCACCCGCGCTCTTTTTGCGTTAGCAGGGTTACGGTGTCGCAACGTGGTCAAAGTCATGGATTATGAAGTCTTCCGAAAAGATGGCTCCATTTCCATTCGCAAGGTTCCTGAAGCGTAATTGTTCGTGGAAGACGGACCTCCAAGCTTTCCGGTCGCGGCCGCGGCGGACAGGGCGTTGCACGCAGGGCGCCTTTCAGGGCTCCGCCCACTCCTACCGCTCCCGCGTCAAAGTCAGTGCACATAAAGATTTCCCCCATATCCCTTGATAGGATCACTGCAACTCGTACTACTCGTGCCGTGTTTCAGGGGGGCAAGTCGGAGAACATTCATGACGGGTGGTTTGGTAGCAGACCAAGCCGCGCGCTTAGTGGTCCATGGACTGGGTTCACAGTGTTCAAGTTAAAACCCGTGCGGTCCGAACATGTCACCGCCACAGGTGCAGCCGTGATGTTAGACTCCACTCCGCCAACATCGCTCAGAGGCATCAAAGAATGGCAGTCCAAGGATGCAGCTTCGTCGAAGCCCGCAAGCGCCAAGCACGCATGGAAAAGTTGCCTGTGATGTTCGAGTATGCATGTTCGGCCGATTCAAGCATGGGTCGAGTGTTCCAAGGATTAGGCGTACCACATGTCAGGCTCGCTAAAGAGTTCATCGACCTAAGTACCGATGCTGGGGAAGTTCAGTTGGATGCTTAACTGAAGAGTTGCGAAAAGCCAAGCCTTTCCCTGATAAGCTTGAAGATGTGCGTGAAAAGGTGTCCGCTAAAGCTGCAGCATGATGCGCTGCGTCAAGCCCAACAGCAACATGTGCAAAGTCCCAGTTGTTGCTTGAATGCCCTGCAGCAGTCTTCATGGTGTAAACTTGACTACAAGTCGGCGTGGTATTGCGTTGCAGCTTCCTCGGTGCCAACAACGAGGGGGGAGTCAATACTCGTCATTTCACGCATTACCATTTGGCTCAAGAAAAAGGCGCGCTTCTGTGCGCACGTTGCCCCAATTTAAGGGAGAGGTCGCAGTCACGGAGGGGATCGGTTCTTCTAAGGTCCCGCGTTTCCCCTCTGTTGTGAAAACCGTGTTTCCCTCTCTTTTGAGTCTTCATGGTCAGAATGATTGCTGTTCAGGGAACCATGACCCAATCCCCAAAATATTCAAAAAGAGTTTCGACCACGCACGCCCTTCCGGACGAAGGGAGGCCGTTCCCGCGGACGTTTTTTTGGCTCAAGGCTTTGTTGCACGGGCCGGTCCCCGGCGCGACCTTCAGTTCGCGACGTGTTTCTCTTGGTGTGTTTTTCTAGAATTGAGGACGAGTCCCCCATTTTTGGAGCTCGGTTTTCAACCAGGTTTCCCAAACCACCCTCTTTTCAGGGCACGCTCAAAATATCACACATCCATATCTACGTGTATATCTTCGATAGTGACAGGTTAGGAAGGTCGCACTGGATGCTGCGCAGCTGATCTGCTGCCTGAAGAAGTCAACCTTGGTGTCACCCAAGACCTTCAGACACGATGTTACCAGCTGCAAACGTGGCAGCTTCATTACGTCATTTTGATGAGTGTCAATGGGATTTGAATCTGATACCAATGAAGTCTTCCGCATTGAAGCTAGATGCCCCAGACGAAAGGAGGGTCGTGCGCAGCTTCCACGCCTCGCAAAGGCCATGAAGCAGGGAGGATTTCCTTTGCTGGATCCTCGCCCGCCTTTGGGGGACGTTTGCAGGAGTGCCTGAAAATTGGCATTGGTGCTAAGCACATTTGCAGCTTCCAGCTGTTTCCCGCTGGCTTCTTTTCGCAGAGGACACCCTTAACTGCGGAGCGACGTGAAGCTGAGACTCGTCGGTATCTCAGAACTTTCGAAGTTTCTCAGTTCTTTGGCTGCAAGGGCTCAAAGTGTCGGCCTGGTGCAGGCTACTCAAGCAATGCTTCATCTGCTGTGCAACGCTGAGAGGGGCAAGGTCTTGCGAGGAAGCAGATGGAGGGGGGACATGATGGCTTGCAGAACCAGTGCCGCAATTCATGGTGTCAAGCGCATTTCAGCTGATGCACCTTGCATCCATGGCGTTTGAATGGATAGGGGATGGTCATTGACTCTCTAATAAGTTTGGACAGCCGCCGTAAGATTCTCGTTTGAATAGCCCACGACCATCCTGCCAAGCAGTCATTACATGACCCAGATGGGTACTTAGGCAAAGCAGCTGAGTAGTGCAGAAGGCTCGCCGGCAAGTGGGGAATAGTGCTGATGTTGGACGGAAAGCTTAGAGCCATGCTTCCGCGGTAGAATCGTGTTCAGTCTTGGGCAGGATGGGTCCGTGACCACTGACCCATAGCCTGTTGTGGATTTGCAACCGATATGTGTTGTGGTCTCTAGATTCTGCACTGGGAATTGCATTGCTGCATGACTGAATGACCAGGCCATCTGAACAAGCTAGCAGTGGATCCTGCTCTAACAGAAGCAGAAGCTGCTCTCAAAGACTTCCGCCACAGCAGTTTCTGCGGCCACGCTTGAGGGATCAGCAGTCGCGTCGTGCATGCGTTGCAGCTCGTAGCTTCATGCTTATATTGGGTGTGTCTTTTCTTGAGGGAACAGCTTGAGAATCGAAAGGAACATCACATTTTTGGGGGCAAAACCAAGAGAAGCGCACACCCTGCTAAAGCCTGGAAGCTTGCATTGGCGTGAGGCACACGCGCCTGCCAGGTGATGCAGTGGGATGCGCCGAATCTGTACGAGTGATCTCCAAGGCGCAACAGATCAAGGCCTGGTTTACGAAAGCGATGGATTTCTTTCTGCTGCAGAGGTTCCGCAATTTTCCTTTTGTGGACCTCGAGTAGCAGTTTTGCGAGCCCATTGCAACTTTTGAGGGGAACTCCAGTGACTTGTGTGGGCCAGTTGTCCAACCCTTGCATCTTTGTTGGTTTTGTTTTTGCCCTCCGTGTCTCTCGTCCTCCTCGGGACACTCTTCTCTCCTCGTCTCAGGCCTTTCTGTCGGATGACGAGGATGCCCGCTCGCTTCAGCCAGAGGTGATGGTGACGCAGGACTAAGAAAGGATGTTTCATTGTGTTGCTTGGCTGTTTGGTGTTCCTTCAGAGTTCGTTGGATGTTTGTCGTTTGTAAGTTACAGCTGTTCAGTTGTTTGTCGAGATTTTGGTTCCAAGCTGGTTCCGCTCTGGAGTGTCCGCTCGTTGTGCCTCGAAGAGAAGGAAGCAACCCATGAATGTTGGTAGGAAAGCAGTAGGACGGAAGGCGTTCTTTTCGAAGCACCTGAGTTTGTCGAACTCATGCCCCGCACTCAACTGCTTAGTTTTTGCGCAACAACAACAGGGTTGGTGGGCGGGGGTTTACCGGCAAGCCAGCCAGAAGTAGTCGCTGTTGCTCGGAAGGCATGAAAACGCGAGAAGGCAACAAAGAAGGGGAACTCTCGGATAACGGCACCCCAGGATGAACAGGGGGCGTCCCATCATCTGCGAGGTTCACGGGGTTTGACTTGTTTGATTCTCTTCATTTTTGGTAGTCAAGGAACACTTTTCACCTGCTGCAAGGGGGCTTCGACTCGCATTCTTCGGTGTACTCTCTAAATTTTGAACTAATATTGATGAGTTTCACCACAAACCTCTGACATTTTCGTTTGGGTCGCCTCATGCACAGGCCCCAAAAAGGTTAGGTTTGCGTCCGAGTATTTTCCTTCAGGAGCTAGAGAAGGCCAAGGCAAGTAGCGACCGCGCCGCGCAGGCGGAGCTGAAGCGGGCTTCCGGGCACACGATCAAAACCCGAAGCGAAGGTTAACGGACAGTCTCAACCAGAACGAACTTTGTAAAGCATTGGGTTTGGGAAGACTTTGCTGTTGGCACTTGGGTGCGGCCTTTCGCGATAGATTCCCGTGACTGGAGGCGATTCTTTATTTGGCTCTGTGCGAGATCCTGTCCTTCGGCACTGCCGATAAAGGCCCGCGAGCGGTTTTCGATTTTCACAGGCTGAATGCAATTGTCAACCCTGCAGTCTTCGGACCTCGCATTTGGGAACATTTTAAGTAAGTCAATCCAAGGTTCTTTGCCTGGCCAGCTTCCACTTGATGGATTGCCGACTGGTTCTTGTCATATTACCGGATGACTCCAGTGTCTTAAGCCAGGGTTATTGTCTTTCGCTTTGATTGTCCTTCTGTCGACAAAGTATCAAAGCCTCCGCATTCTGGTACAGATTTGTCAGCCTGTGCCTTCAGTCAACATCCCAGTTTCCTGCCCCCGTTCTTTGCTCCTCTCTCTCGCACCTTCTCCCCTTTGCCCTTCTCCCCCGCTCCCCCTCTCCCCCTCTCCCCTTCTCCCAAATTCCCGTGTTATGTTTGCATGCGATTGGGCCATAATCTTGCTGAGAGGCTTTCTTCTACGTGAGCAACACAAAGTGTTATTAGCCATGTCATCAAGTGTCATTCGGAGATGTTGCGATAGCAACTATCCGTTGGCATTTGGCTCAGTGTTTGGTTCCGTCGCGGCCTCGAATGGGCATCTTGGGGAGAAAGAGACCTCAGGCTGCTGTCAGGTTGGTAAGGTCAATCCGTACGGTTCATTGTCGGCCAAGGCCGCGGGCAACCCTTTTCTCTTTTGGTTGTTTTCTGTGGTTGTTTGGTCACTTATGTGTGGGAAACCCTGATCTTTGGGACTGGGGATTGGCTATTGGGGTCTTTCTGTTGTGGCTTGTTTACCCCAACTCACCTTTCGCCTGGGCGCAGGCTCGTGCCCGAAACACACAAAGCAGCTGATGCAAGAGAACCCTGCGAACGCGTGCATTCTGATGTTGGGAGTTGCAATGTGCTGCAGTGCTGCACTGCCGTGATTGAAACCCCTCGGACACTTCTCGGAACATTGAGTCAGCATCCCACTGAAAAGAAGAGAGGTGATGTGTGGAACAATGTTGAAGGATTCGGTGTTTCATGTCTTGTCTCCAGCGCGTGTGCATCCATCCAATCCCCAACAGCCACGGGTGCGCTGTGTGTCAAGTTAGCCTCAGGCGAATCATGGGGTCCCCAAAGCTTGGGACCTCAGGATGTGTCCTTTTTTTCCACCCTTTTTGGCGGGTTGTGAAAGGACGTCAGACGAATTTGAGTTGAACCATTCAGGATGGCAATTCGCTCTTGTTGCCTCAAGATTTCAGGGCACCGTTGTTCGGGCATCAACCAGTTCGGTGGGTTTGAACCTTAAGCTCGGCGCAGTGCCGGCCTCCGAATGTCTCCGCTTCAGGCGCTCCCAGCCGGGCCATGCGAGACAAGGCCCTGGAGGCCGGTAACGAGGCCATGGGATCCGAGAAAGCCGCCCGCGGAATCCAGAGGCTCCATTTGGCTGCGGGTCAAAAATAGGGTAACCCAAACATAGAACCCTGGTAAATGGAAACATGGACTGAAACCTGCGGTCCCCTGGTGGTTTCATTTTGACCCATACGCATTTGAAGGAAAATGGTCCTTCCCCAGCGAGGTTCGTTTCTGTGCGGAAAGGGGGGCATGTTTTGAGCCTCAAGTTGGAATACACCTGGACTGCTGCCTGGCTCAAGGAAAACATATTATAGCGACTAATAATACTGCAGGTGATCCATTTGCTCACTCGCTTCAGGAGCCCACCGCTGCTGCAACAAATGCAGTTTTTGGTTGGACTACACAGAACTGCTTGCTCACTTATGGGGCAACATGCTGCCCAGAAAGTCTTTGGTTCTGGCGCTACCTTTGCAAACCTGCGTGGCAAGTTTCGGAGGCGCCAAGCAATTTTCGAACCAGAACACCTAAACATGAAATCCTGGACACCCAAACTTATCCATTCCCAACAAGTCAAATATCCGAACTCACGCGAAAGCATATCGTATGACCACTTTCCAGCTTCTTGTTTAAAGTTTTCAAGCCCGGCTCGCAAACTTCCAAACTTGCGCCCAGCTAATTCCGAGCGCTAGCAGAGCCGCACCGAATCTGCAGCCAGAAGTTCCATTGTATGCTCAGAAGTTGAAGTCAATCGGCACGCTGACAGTTTCAGATCCTCCGGCTTTTTGCACAAGAGGTGTCGGAACCCTGACCCCAGAAAGTTCCAACGAGTCCGTGCTACTGTAAGAGTTTGGCTGTTCAGATTGGTCTGGGAAAAGTGAAGTGCCATGGTAACGATTCGATGCGATTTTCATTGCTGAGCCCATGAGACTGATTCAAACGAACACCCTGCCCCTCGCCATTGAAAGGCTCAGGCGCGGGCACCAAATCACAGCACAGGCCGCGGATCTTTTTCAAGGTCTTGCCGAGACCAGGATGCAAGCGCCCGCAGCCTAGACGAAGAAACCAACATGTTTGTGACGGCATTGGGTTGTCAGCTTTTGAATATGCCTGGAAGACAAAGAATTGAGCCACAATCAAAGCAGCTGTTTCAGCCTCAAGCCTTCCCGCGGTGACAGCTGTTAGCTGTTCGGGAGGACCTGACCCCTCCTTGGTCATGGCCCCATCACCCGGACAGTTACAGATTTGGGGACAGGGGTTGATGTTGGCCTTTCTGGTCAACTTTTTCATGTTTTCCTTATCTATTGGAGATGTGAGAGAAGGGATTCTTGTGGAATCCCAGGTGGGGAATTGTTACTCTTTTCTTGGTCTGTTTTCGAAGATGTTCATGGTGATTTGGAATGGTGTTTATTTTTCTCCTGGAAAAGCTGCCTATTGGACCTCCCTCATCTGGAGCAGAGTGAGGACCACTAAGGACTGCAGATATGACCTGGTATTATTTGGTATTGATGAGTATTGGTGGATCTGGGTTGGTATTCTTCTTCGTCAGCGGCCTATTGATGCGGTTATTGAGTACCTCATCGTCGGCGCCTTTGGTATTTTGTATATTTCTGGATGTCGGCATCTTCGTGAAGGAGCAGCAATATTGGTGCGCATATTGAGGCTCATTCTACATGAAGCAGATGAGATACAGGCCGGGTGTCGTATTTGGGTACAGGGGAGGTGCAGACAGACCCCTTGGATTCCCTTCCGGCTCCCTTTATTTGTGATTATTTGGGCTTCATGTACCCTTGAAATGGATTGGTATCTTCGGGGGTACCTACCCCACAATAGCTTCCCTGAGCATGCTGTGGGCGTTTATATGGGGGAATCTGCTCTGTTTGGGTACCCATATGGCTCAATCAGTGTGATTTGGAGCATTAGCCATGGAAGCAGCCCGAGGGGCGTGAGCCTTCTGAGTGGCAGTCTGATTGCCGGGGTGGCGGTCACTATGCTCTTCATGGTGTGCGTGCAGGCGCTGCATAGGGTATGGGTGCTTCTTGTCCGAGCTTGCAATTTGGGCAAGATGGAGGAAGAGCAGCTTGGCGAGGAGAGCATTGACCTCGACAGGTTTGGGAAGCACCTCGAAGGCCCCACGGTGGCTCTCGGAACTGTCACTGGCAGGATTTTGTGCAATATGGGGAGAGGCAACTGCTTTTGGTATGCAATCAGTCAGCTTCGCTTCGGGCACTCCAGGAGCTGGAGAAAGATCAAGCTTCAGGTCCTTGGCAACTCCACCCTGGAGATTCAGAAGAAGCTCAAAGCAGGAGGCAAATGGGCAGATGAAGACGCAATTCAAGCAGCATCGGATTTTTTGGGGCAGGAAATCTGGGTGGTCAATGTGGGCAATGGGTGCAATTATAAACACACCGGGCAGGTGGTGCGGTTCATGCCTACAGTTCAGGATATGCAGATCAAGCCGCTGATACTCAGGCTATTGAACAATCACTTTGAAGCTATTCGGATGGACAATATTCGGCTTGAGGAGCGAGCAGTATCATGGGAAGCTTTTAAGCGGTCCTCTTTTGACTTATATGCTCATGACTCCGAGATGGATGCAAGTGAGGCCCGCACCGACTCTGATCTTCATGGAGGAGGAGGAGGACGCGGTAAAGGACGGAGCAGGGCGCCATTTACAGATATTCCGGGAGTTACATACGATATCGGTCGGTACCTTTCTTTTGTTCGGCACGGAGCAGTCAAGGAGGGCATCTCGATGGATGACGAGGGCTATGTCAAGGTGGAGGATATTTTGGCTCGGAAGCCACATGCCTCGATTGACAGCGTACTGCAGGCAGTCAACAAATGCGAGAAAGGAAGATTTGAGCTTCTTCAAGGGGAAGAAGGTTGGCTCATACGGGCCACCCAAGGCCACAACAAGGAGCTGGATCTCAGCAATGAAATGCATCGCCAGATTACAACGCCGGATGAGGTGGACCAGCCCACTCTGTTTCATGGCACATATTTGGCGGCGTGGGGGTCCATTAGACGTCAGGGTCTGCGATGTGGCCACAGGCAACACGTGCACTTTAGCACCACCTACTTTGTGAACCATGGGCAATCAGGAATGCGGCCGGGTTGTGATCTGGTGGTTGCAGTGAATGTTCAACAACTGCTTGACGCAGAGATGCCCTTGTACAAATCAACCAATGGGGTATATTTGGTGGGCTGTGACATTCCACCAGAGCTTTTGTACAATGTATACTGGGCCCGTGGACCTCATGACTACAGGATGATTTGGCAATATGGATATTGTGTGCTACATTTGCAGATAGATCAGGATGAGATATTTGCAGCCAAATGTCGGAGGCTTGGTTTGGAGCCCTGGGACTCTTCACAGCCCCCAGATGATCATGATGGAGGAAATGAGGAAGTGAAAGAAGAGATGGAGGAAGTCCTTGTGGAAAACGAGGAGCAGGAGAACATGGAATATGAAGAGACGCATGGAGAAGAAGTGGTAGCTGATGGTGTGGACCAGGCTTCGGGCTCTGACGGTTATCGAGGCTTGGGAGAAGTGTGGAGTTTGTCGGACGCACCAGCCTGGCAGAGAAGGATCCGATTCAAGTCACGATCCCGCTCCCCCGGTGGGAGGCCGCTTCATAATAGTCTTCGGACCCCGCTCCCGAGGAGGCGCCCTTTGCCGCGATTGAGGAGAGATGTCAGCGGTGGAGCTAGAACTTGGGGTACGGAGTTCACGGAGCAATGGCGCGGTTGCAGGCTTTTCCTCTGTATTGTCTGCTCCCTGGCCTATTTTGGTGCTAGTGGCATGGACCTTATCAGTCATATTTGCGGAGGCGGTGGAGACGAGTATTCATACTATTCCACCGATGATGAAGCATTTTTGCAGAGCAGTCAGCATGATGAGCCCACGAAGAGAGAGACGGCATGGAGAAAAATCGGCAAGGACCGCAGACGCATGAAGGTTCATTTCGCTGATATTCGGACTTTCACCACGGCCCCAAACTATGATCGACCTCGTGAAGGTACGCCACCCCCGGCTAGGACGAGTGGAGGTGATGATCAGCCTCACAAGCGGAAGAGGCGCAAGCACAAGAAGATCTTTGTTGAAGACACAGATCCCCGGCCCCCTCTTCCCCGCATAAGACGGGTTGAGGTGTGGATGAAGGACGAGCCTATGCTGGGCATCGATGGACGACCGGCCCTGCCTCGCAAAAGATCCTTACAGGGGGGTATGCTTGAACAGGAGGTACCATTGGACCTTATGAGATTGGGGCAGTATTTGCAGCTCACGCCATTCAACGATGAAATCAGAGCCCTTTTTCCTTTAAATCGGTTTCTGACCTATGCACAGATTCTGGCAGAGAAAACCCGGGTTATTATGACGCTCACCAAAATGTCTGAAGCCCAAGTCCTGAGCCTTAAAACTGCGTGTCGGAAGCTCATGGGCAAAGCTGTTCAACAGACGAGGGCCAAACAATTTCTCGATCAGGAGGATGAAAGAGATGTCAAGGATGCGGTTGCCCTGGCCACCATGCATGTTTCTGATGGGGATCAACAAATTCTTGTTGGCAAGTTTGTGAGTTGGAAGATCAAACCGATGCATTTCATCCCTGAAAGCTCGCCCTCCACTATTGCTGGTTTGCTGGGAATCGATGAGTACACTGTTGAAAAGGTGAGATCCATCCTTCTGGACTATTTCAGTTTTCCCCCAGAGGCAGACCCGGCACTGGGTTGGTACTTCGACGTGACAGGTGGATGGACTGGCATTGTTCCTATTTGGGCGAACTCCCTCGGGCTTATTGGTGGGGGTGGGGAACAGGACGATGAGTCTGTTACTTCGGATTCATCTGCCTTTCACATGCTCAGCCGATGTAGGGATGCCCAAACAGCTTTTGATGAGGCTATTCAACTGCAAAGTACGCTGAGAAAACGGAATCGAAGATTGGCCAAACTTTTGCAGAAGCAACAGGAGGTCATTGAGGATCAAAAGGCTACTATCTGCAGGCTTAGGCACACCCTCTCGCAGCTTCTGCCCACTGTTGGAACTGAAGGGAGGATTGTTGGGGATCCGCGGCACATTCCACTTGGTGATTCTGAAATCTCCCCGACGGTTCCCTTCTTTGTTGATGAAGGACCTCCGAGGGGCCTAGGGCCGGATCGTTTCCGTGACAGGTCCAACAGATTGGCTACGCAGCCCTATTCTATTGCATCTGGAAGACTGGAAATCAGCAGAGGTGCTCGACCTGCACTTGCGGTTTCCTACGAGCCCATCGAGGACCTCTCAGACGTTGAAGGTGGTATGAAGGATCCCATTTGCATGATTATGCTACATCATCTATGTGGGATCATCGATGCGATATCTCTCACTATTCCTTCAGTACAACATGACTCTTATTGTGAGTTATCTGACCTGGGGTGTGGTATTTCTATTTATCGGCTGATGCAGTATGATTCCTTTGGCATTATGGCAGAGCAGATCACAGGAGGAGGAGGAGCAGCTGAAGCCGAGGCAATTGGTAAGGCTCAGCAGAAGGTCATGAGGGCAGAAGTTGAGTTTGCCCCCAAGCAGATTAGAGCCCTTCTGGTTCTTGACTCCAAGCTTAGGGAAAAGATCCTTAGCAATGACGGGCAAAATCAGATTCGGGACATGATCCGGGCCTCAGCTAAGAAAATTGGGATGCAACCTGACAGGAGTGTCCCTGTCCCGTCCGAGGAGCAGCGTGTCCCGAATGGGAAAGCCGAAAAAGGGGGCAGAGGCAAAGGGAATGGCAAAGCTATGAATCAAGATACCTCTAAAGGCAAAGGTAAGCGCAAAGAAGATGATGTTCAGGAAGGACAGGACAAAGGGAAGGGACGCGAAGCGCAAAACAAAGCTAAAGGGAAAGGGAAAAAAGGGAAAGACAGTCTACCTGAGCCTACCTTCGAGCTGATTCCAGAAGACTGGAACTGCCCAATCAGGTCTATTGCGGATTTCAACCCCTCCGCCCATGGCCTGTATCTTGTTCAAGATGCAGCGGTGGCCCAACAACTGGCCAGCAAAATC